GGAAGATTTATTTCTGACAGAATTTTTGTACACAGTATAAAATAAAAAAAAATAAACATCATTGTAAAATTAATACATTCCTAGCTTCGCTCAAAATCTAAAATTATTTTAACAAAATCCCAAGAATATATATTTTAAATATATATTCTGTAATAACATGATAGTGTTACAAATATTTAATATAAAGATGAATCGCTAAGTTTCTACAATTTTGTAAAGTATACAAAAACTGTTAATAAAATCATTTTTCGTAAAAAATTTGGCGAATCGATTGATATTATTTAATAGTGGCAATAAAAACAATGTAAATTATAGTAATTTACGGTTATAGTTTTGTATATATATATATTTGTATAGTACATGAAAGTTTTTATGTGATCTGGTAGAAAAAAAATGATAACAATCATAGTTATATGTGCGGGTTTGTGGCCCTATTTTTAATTTATTTTCACGGTATAGGTTAGAACAATTTCATAATATTTGTCTGCAATGCAGTCCCTCAATATATAAAGCCGTCCAGCGTTGCACCATGTGGTTTAATCGATGCACAACCAACCGTGGATTAATTTCGTAACCATAATAATATCACACTGAACTAAATCATCTATTGATACGCTATTCGTAATTAGTGCAGTTAATACCTATGATTTACTTTGAATAATAATATATATATCTTCGTTCGATGTAAAAATAATTACCATTGGTTCTTTACGTCACTCGTATGTATTTTCTAAAATCTAAATGATACCTGTAAATTAACACTTTTCGGTTTTCGTAGTATTTTAGATTCGGAGCGTTTGATTTTCCAAGCGGTTTTCATAATAATTGAGAAAAATGGGAAAATTAACGAAATATATCATTTTCAATTTTTTTTTTTTATTATTGTAATATTCAGTTAAAAATATTCGTAGAGACTTAAAATTTAGATGAAAAACTTATACTTGTTTTCTATAGACGTTGTACGAATTCAAAACATTTGAGCCATTTTTGAGCTGTTTATAGAAATTTTTTAATATATATTTTTACAAAAATCGTAAATATTATTCCCTTATAAAAGTCTATATCCGAACTTCGCTCAAAATCGTTTTTCGATAACCATGGTTTATCGTTGTGTACAAATATAAATTAAATTCTCCTCTATATCCTACCTTCCTAATTTCTCACCTATAACAGTGGCTCACTCGTCGTGCGAAGTATGTCCGGTTTTTTTCATCTACCTATACAGGGTGATTTTTTTTATCATGAACTAGTAATTATCTCAGAGGATTTTAAGTGAATTTGATTTCTGTTTTTTCTAATCATTATGGAATCGTTTAAGCTTTATTTCAAAACCATTTTTAATTTTTTACCCCTATTCTATATACCTTAATAAGTGCATACTTTTATTTTTAAATATGACTCCCCTTTTTTTAACACAGATTTGAATAGAAAATATTTTTCTAGAAATTATGATATGTATAACACTAATATCAGATTTACCGTTTATGAGTTATAACAGTTTAAAGTTTAGACCGGAGTAGTACGGAAGGGTAATAAATTGCCTGTCTATTACCCTTCCCTACTCCCACTAACTTAGCAACAAGTGAAAAAAAATCAACTAACGTTCTTTTTCGAAATTAAGTCCTTGGTATATTGATCACATACTATTTTATAGGTATACGCCTTAATACTCCTATTACGGTTGTATGGTACCTAATTCGCTACAGCGTGTGTAGAAAGTTCGGAATCTAAATTCGTTTTGGGATACCAATGAGTATACATTCAAATATCGAGAATTTAGTATTTTTTTAATAAAATATTTTGTAATGAACGATTTGTTTTAGCGATTGTTATACCGAAAAATACTCTCGTAATTATTGTTATCGGTTATTGGTTATTACTTTATTATTGTAATTATCTGTAGCGTGTTATCGTATAGTATTATATTATTTTTATGATCACCGAATTGTTATTTTGACACACTGTGTACGTGTACACTGCGTATACGTAAAATAATATTTTGTCTTACCTTGACGAAGAATCAAAATATATAAGTAGTATACACCCTATGGAATATATTGGCAAAAACAAAAACATATTATTGCTAAATAATATGGTTACGCGGGAGGCGGCGTGATATTATTTACACACGTTTATGAAATTGTGTTTTCAGTACAGGTAGTTACGTATTTTTTTTTTCGTTGACGTCATCAATTTATTATGTTTTCGGTCATCATCGTCATAATAATAATAATAATTTGAAATATGATACAAAATGAAACGTTTTATATACGTAGGTACGCTAAGTCTAAAGGTAACTATAGGTCTGCACATTAATAATCATAATCCGCGAGACTATCGAGAATTATAATTTATTTATTTATTTAGACACATAAGCTAACACATTATTCGAATAGATGTAATGATTATTTTACTGTTGTGTATAAATCACAAAGTTAAAATTATTTGTTATCTATTAAATTAAAAAATAAACATATACGTTTATAATTTAGTTATCCACGTAAACAAGTCCAGGAAATCTATCAAAACTATATAATCTGTAAATATCAGACACCATGGTAACTCCTTTTATCTTTCATCCTTAGAGATGGGACATTCAGTCAAAGTATTATTTGTTCAGAACTCATACTATTACCTACCTGAAATAATACTATTTGTCGCCTCTTATGACACATAGAGGTATCATAATTGGAGTATTATAATCCCCTCGCACAAAGAGAATGGTATTATCAACTAAAAAGTTAATTCCTCGATCCTACAGAATTAATACCACATGCCTACTGGCTACTATAATCATCCACCTGAGCTTTCCACCAGGAGCTCGGCGTCCCGGATTCGCTAAAATCACATATAAGTATCATATGCCACCCCTTAATATTATAAATTTGTATAAACTATCCACATGAATTATTTCATTATAGCCATTATAATATAATATTTAATATTGCAGACTTGCAGTTACAACGTAACAAAATATCGATTACACAGAAAACGAATATTAAGGAATTAAAAGTACCTAATTAGTTTTTTTTTTACTTAAAAGATCGCCAATATGTTTTTAAAATTTGACCGTGTCTAGAAAAGTCTAATATAAGTATTCGGTAAACATGTCAGGGCTCTACGGTTATTTTTAACCGAATTACGATAAAAAAAACAAAAACTGCTATTGCGTAAATGCGTAAATGTTTACGTTTTCCTCCGAAAAGAAATCGAAAAATAAATTCCTCAATGTACTAACTGCATAGTTTTTCACACTAATTACCTTTGAAAATTGATATTAGAGCATAATTTTTGTTAGAAAAGTTACTAGAAAAAAAAAGTTGTATAAAAAACATACACACACACACACACACATTACATAGTAAAACCAACACATTCCTCGCTACACTCAGAATCTAAAATGAATGCAGGCATATCAAATAATGTTTGCACGTATTGTATAATACTGTATAACTGTATTCGTAATCGATAAATAGGTATTTAACATTTCGTAATTAAATTGTCGTATACCAAATTATTTTAAGGTCATTACACTAATATTAATTATTTGTTTTTATATGTTTATAACTACCAACATCTTACAATATTAAATGAGAGCTGTAAATTATTTACGTTTGAAAAGGATAACTTACTAGACTACTTAATTACCTCGTTGATTACCAAAGTATCATATACAGGGTTGTATTATATATAGGTGTTTCAATTAAGTGTCTAAAATGGATAATTCGAAAAGTATAGACTTTTTTCAAAAAAAAAAAACTGTGTTGACAATTTGAGTAACAGGCAACTCTAAAATGTCACATTTTCAATATTTTTCGGGGATGAAACGACTATTCAATTCGGAACGTAGCGAGGAATGTATTTGTTTTATAATAATATTTATTTTTTTTTTTACATTGTGTAAAACATTTCTATCAGAAATCTTACTCCAATTTTTCAAGTGTAGCACCTTTTTTGAAAGAAAATTTTATTCAGTTGGTACATTAAGGAGAACATTTTTCGATTTTCCAAGTAGTTTCTACTTGTGATTTTCAAATGGCAAACTATATTAAAAGTTTGGATCATCGCTTGAACATCATTGGTGTGTTGGCATGGCGCGCGGCGTTTTAATATTGATCTACTACTCTCCTCTTATCCAAGCTTAAAAGTGGAATATCTCGTGAACAAGGTGATGGAAATTAAAATTATCACCACCAAAATCTATTTAAACTAATATTCCGACTATTTATTGAATTGTTTCATCTTCAAAATAATGAAAAAATGACAAGAAATAATGATAGAACTAACATTTTAGAGCTGCTTGTTTCTTAAATTGTAAAAAAAAAAAATTTCGAAAACTCAATGTTTTTCAAAATATCGAGTGTAGAGTGTAGACACATAATTGGAATATTATCTGTATGTGTACATATTACAGTGTGATTATTTTTGATATAATTTCTCATATTAATAATCATAATAAAATAATATAAATTAATTCTCTATTTTTAAACATATTTTAAACGTGAAATTATTTAATTTATTGAAATCAACATATTATTTTCAACCCTGAGACTTTAAAAAAAATGTTAATAATGCGGTTATATTATTATTTTTAAATGGTATTGATAACACGCGTTTTTTTAGACTATTCAGAAATGATGTTTTTATTTCGTTTGTATAGCAGGTATGGTATATGGTATTTTTTTCGTTGTCATATTTGTAATAGGTACCCATACCATTGTTCACTAAATATTTGATCATAATAAGAGTTGCTTTGTGTGCATAAAATGTTATTTAATTTGACACGTACACCTGTTACATTATAGTTACCTACCTACCTGTATGTTTATCCTGACCGTAAATTCGTATACCCTTCGATAATATGTATTTAAGTATTTTCTTCAAATAGATAATAATATTACTATAATGTGTAACAGTATAATATTATTAATCAACTCTATGCTAAATTATATTGTATAAAATACAAGTACATATTACAAAAAGCTGGCAGTGCCGTAGCCGGATAGGGAGGCACGTGCCCCCCCCAAATATTTTGTTTTATTTTATTATTCAGTGTCGGTTTAGCCTTTTATTTGTCTACAATATTTATTTTTTCATATTATAAGCGGAGCCTCACAAAATGGGATCAGTAAAACTAACAAACAATGATAAAATATAATAAGATCGTAATCCTGAAGACCGCACATTTAATGGATGGGCCTCTGTGCAAATAATTAGGTAGGTATCTATATTATAATGAATAGGTGCATTTTAGATAAATACTTTGATACCCATATGCCGTAATTTTTGGGGCCTTTTGCAAAACAACCATTAAACATAATGTATTTAATGAAGTCATCGTAGATAGTGAAGATGAAAAACAATTAAATTAGATAATAAATATAAGACATGTGCTTATATTATAATTCAAGAACTCTCATTTCATTCAAATTCGTTTCATAATTTATTAACAATGTATATATATATATACATTATATAATAATATATATATATATATATTATGTTATTATTGTTATACTTTACTCAAGTGATTTGTGAAAGGGCATTTGCTAAACTAAAACTTGTGAAGTCCAAAATCAAATCGACAATTAGTCAACAACATTTATCATCTTTAATGCTTATTGAAATTGGATTAGATATCGAGTTACAGAACACGGAAATAATTGACACTATAGCCAAATCATCTAAACTTTTACAAGAATAACTAATTTAATAATATAGTGATTAGTACTAACAATTTGTTATTAAATAATAAAATGAACATAAAAGATATCTAACAATGATGCTTTTGTTATTAATTTCTTCGAAAATGAAAATATTATATTTGTTTAACTACTCCTTTTTAGTATGATTCTCAGAGATTCTGAGTGTAGCGAGGGATCATTTGGTTTTACTATACTGTGTTTTTGTTTAGTGTCTATCCTTCTTTCTACCAGAAATCTTATTCTAATCAAAAAATGACAAGAGATCTTTTTTGTTATACTTTGAATCTAGTTAGTGATTCAAAAAGTAATTTTTTGATTTTCCAAGCAGATTTAAAAATAATTGGGAAAAACGAAAAAAAAAACATATAGAAATACTGCACTGTCTAATAATATCAGATTTTTAAATCTGTACAGTAAATACTTGTGAGTTACATTACTATATTAATTAATAACGTTCGTATCGATGTGTCATGTTAGTAAAATATGGATATTAATTTGTAACAAAACTATATAATATGCGATCGACTATACTGCAGTCACAGGTGAGAGACAAGAGACTATACTTACGAAAACCGCAGGTGCAACTGCAGGTGAAAAGTGGTTTTTTCCTCAATGCGTGTTTGTAACTGTTCGTATAGAATTTTAATGTGTATCGTTAATGATAATTAATTTTTTGTCGCTTTGTTTTAAATAACGGTATTATATAGTATAATATTCATGTTAAAACTCCAAAGTACTTTATTTAGTCATAATTATTTCTAATCATATTTATTTTAGATGACACAAGTTTTCGTTGTATTCTCGGTCATTGGTCAGCCATTACATTACGACGGCAGTGATAACGTTTATTACATTTCGCGTATACTTGAGACATTGACATTCGGGAACCTATGGCCAATTGTTTCTCTGTTCCAGTTTTTCCAGAAACCACCCTCCACCTACCCGTATGTAACGGAATGATAAAAAAAAATCGACGGTACTTGCCTATAATATAATAGTTATGTATCTATAAGTTGGTTATACGAATATGAATGCATTATATTATGTTATACAAACGCCAATAAAACGTTCATGTTTCGATCGCCGTGTTCTTTCGTTATTATTATTATTTTTTTTATGTACATATATTGCGTACCGCTAAACGACACGACCATCATCACGTCTTCGGGTAAACAATTTAATTACAGGCACGTGTCGAGGAGAGGGCCCGAGAAAGTTTGATTGCCTATACACAGCGAGATACTATAATATACGTATTATAATATTATACTACAGCAGCCTTGCGCCGCGGACCACTCACTTCACGAGGATATAAAATATTTTGAATTATAATATTTGTTTACGCGTCGTCGCCGTCGGATTTTCATACTGTTATTCGCACCGCGCGCGGAACATTTACGAAGTTAATATTCAATGAATTCCGTATTTTTTTACATAGATAATTTTAAATTTAATTTTAAAACCCGGAACGGCTTAATCTATCGTAGCAGCCTAGACACGGTAATTTAATGCATCCGATATCGACGTTCTCGAAAACAATATACAATAATTATTGTAGTAATATAGTCGTTATATTATACAGACCACTAGATTTTTGTGTATATGTATGAGCAATGGAATATAGGCAATACCAATATCATACTATAAACTAATATCATACTGAATATGATCCGACAATCGCCGAGATTCTTGATTTTATGGAAACATTTCGGGTATTAATTTTCGTTTTATTATTAAATAATATAATGATTTACGTGTGAAATTATAAAAAAAAAATATAAATACGTATATCAAATCTAAATAAATGAAACCTGAAGAAAAATACATAACCTTGAGTATATAATATTATTATGTTTTGATATAAACAACCGGTTTCAACAAAAAGTCATCATCACTCATTAGGTTGAGTGTAAAACAAAACAAAAAAAATGAATAAAGACAAAATTTAATAACAATATATTATAATATTACGAAGATAAAACGTATAAAAACGAATAAAACGAACGTTTGAGATAATAAAGTTGAGACGCGAAATGCTGCTCGATTTGACTACATATTATACTGCAAACCACTGCAATCTATCGAATATTGTTTTTCAACATCGGGCTGTATAATATAAAATCTATTATTAAAATTAATGTTGTACCTACTCCATTTATTTAATATGCAAATATACACTGTACAATTATTCCGTAACAAAATTAACAATCGATATTCAATTGGAGTTTAAATATGTTTTATATCTGAATACATATATATATATAAAGGAAAACTTTAGTTTATAATGTTTTTTATGGTGTCGTACAAGGCCAGATTGGCCCTGCGAGTTACCGAGTAAAAGTTCTACAGTTTTTACCATGGTGGAGTTTAGACGTATTTTTCGTTCTCCCGTTAATAAAGTTTATATGTTTTATTTTATTTACTCTCGTTTTTCGCTTAACTCCATTTATCATTGCTTGTTTTTTACGCATTTTGTCTTTGTTGCTGTGTAAAAATCGCGCGCACGGTCCGGTATCTTTTTTGTGTCAGTTCCTCTTTTAGTCTCCCTAAGAGCAGTTTTTCTGTTGATGCCATCTGAATACATAGCCACCGTGAAACATGTATTTTTAACTTCTGTCGGTTCAACGGTCGCTTTCGATTGTGCTATCTTGTTAATTGCTATCTGGCGAGATACGACCCGTGTCGCACACACGACGTATACACTGCGTGCATATTAAACTTTCTTAACCCGCGAATACATCGTGTCCTTAGTGATTAGCTTAGTCTATTTTCTGTATACCTTTACGATGTGCATTCTTTCTACGCTGCTCTCTTATCTGACTTGATAAGTTTTAACGACCCGCACAGGATATAGCCAATTACCACTCATTGCCTTTAAAAATTTATTTTGCTGTTCATCTCTATATTTGTGTCACAATGAGCAGTTCACTAAAACCCAAACCTGATACGCTGATATTGAAGTCCACAACCAGTCAAGTCAATAAAACTATAATTCTGGATAAAATTTAGTCTCTTTATCTAATATTAATGACAAGGTAAATACTTATGACTTCGGTTTTAAGATCATGAGCACTAAACTATCCGACCTCGAATCTTGTATAAACGATTTAAAGAATTCACTTGGTATATTGTCTTGCGATCTATCCAAAGTAAAACAAGCTAATGAGAGTTTTTCTTCTGAGATCCAGTTATTACGCAATAGATTAACTGAGCTAGAACACTCCCAGTCATCATCTTAACTATCTGATTTCGATATAGTTAAAGAATCCCACGACAGAATATTAAAAGATAAAAACCTGATTATATTTAATGTGTCCGACTCTATTTCTGAAGATTCTTCTGTAACGACTAATTTGGTTAATGAGCGTCAAATGCTAAACGTTTGGGTAAACCAGGTAATTGCCCACGTCTTATTCTGTTCCAATTAAACTCACCTTCAGAGATACATTCTATCCTGTGGGTCAAATCTAAAATCTGTAGTAGTACTCAATGGAAAGATGTTAATCAATACGGATATTTTTTAGTACTTTTTAGAAACTCGGTTCTTGATGTTAGTTGTAAATTTAAGATTTCATATGATTGTTCACGCGATCAATGTTATAATTTTATGAAGGCAGATTTCCAATTAATAACTGAGATCTTATGTAATGAATGACTGGTTTGATTAATACAATTCAAAATGCATTGATTTTGTCACAAATGAGTTATATCGAATTTTATGGGAAGTTATTAATAGTTATGTACCGAAATATACTTTTAGTAAATAAATTTATCCGCATTGGTATTCTACTGATCTCCGTAAATCTCTAAGAAATAAATCGGTTGCTTACAAAAAATACAAAATCTCCAATATTCATTCCGACTATGTAATTTTCTCTAACTTTCGGAAACAGTGTAAGCTACTAATTAAAAAATATTATTCGGATCACCTTATCCATAACCAGAAATTACTAATAAGCAATCCAAAATATTTTTGGAATTGTGTTAATAAATTTCGAAATAATGCTGATATCTCAGTTTCTATTCATTTATAGGTAAAAATTCTAATAAGAAGTTGTTAAATTATTTGGCAAATGATTTTCATAAATGTATGAGAAGTCTATTTCATTTGATGATTCTAAGTTTTATAATATTCATGATTGTATTAATATTAATATGTTTGATATTTCAGTCACTGAAGTTTTTGATTCCCTAACGACGTTAAATTGCTCCTCGAACGGCCCTGATTTTATCCCTCTAATTTTGCTATATAATTGCCGTGGGTATTAACGAAACCAATCCATAATTTATTTAATCTTTCTTTAAACCTTAGTATATTCCCTAAAGCCTGGAAAGTCAGTTTTGTCACTCCAGTCTGGAAATCTGATGATAGATCCTCGGTTACAAACTATAGACCTAATTCAAAATTAAACATCCTGAAACTTTTTGATAAAATCCTTAAACCAAAATTAATGGGATTATTTACTCATGTTCTTGTTAATGAACAGCATGGATTCCATCGTGCGAAATCTACATTGACTAATACATTAGTATTCTATTCCTATTTAGTAGAAATTGTTGAATTTGGTGGTCAGATCGATGCTATCTACACGGACCTTCATAAAGCTTTTGATAAGGAAGGTAGACCATGGGTTTTTTATTTTGCTTTATTATTAACAAATCTACACAGAAAATAAAAAAACGACTTTTATACTCACTAAATAAATCAAAAGAGCCATGTATATTGTATACAGCAATTCAATTAACCATCAATATTTTCATCGATATATTGAAACCAAGTTTAACGATTGTAAAAATATTGCTATTTATGTTGCCAACCTATACATTATACGAGACTAAAGCTGACGGACAGGTAACCAGTTCCGAAGCGGTCACCTCAGGCCCCAGGATCCTTTTAGACTGCCTTTGGCTCCTCAGTCAAGGCTAAAACTATCGAGAGCGCACAGTTGTTATTTTAATGGAAATATTATATAAACTTCTCTCGCCCACGGATACGAAACGTAATATATTTTCGAATGACCGACGGTGAAAATGGATTTTGGGTGACCGGTACCGACAGTTTGTGGTTGCTAAAACGTTTCACCGTCGTCATCAGGACCGGAACGGAGGCGGAATAATGTCAAAATATCGAAAAATCGTAACATTGATTTTTGTTTGTATACAGTCTTATAAAAATCTCTATCGGTCAGATTTTCAATTTTTCCATTTACAAACCATTTTTAGTCCGTACATTTTTTATATTTCGTAATGAAATTATATATTTGTAGTGCCTATATTAATTGTGAAAACAATATTTTTGGTTTTTTTATACCTATATTATGTACATCTGTAAATGTAAGGTGTAAATTGTCGTATACAACATTCCGTAAGTAATTCCAACTATTTTATGTTATTTGGTAGACCAATTTAATGATTGCTTTTTGAAAATGATGTTAAATATGTAGGTACTTACTATTATACATTTGATATTAATTACGAACCGATAAAACAAAAATGTCGTATTGAAAATTATTCGTTTCAGAAACAAATCTATTAAAACAGCCCTTTTTAGGGCCACGAAATTTATAAATTCCTTACAAACTATAAAAAAATCCATAATGTCCATAAAAATTGGTCGCAAAGTAGGAAAATTGAAAATCTGATCAATGGAGGTTTTTCTAGGATGGTATAAAAACAAAAAAATCTATGAGATGTTTATTGATATTTTGGCATTTTTTTTTTCAGGCCCAAATTCATACTTCACCCCTAGATTGCAATAATATTTTATTTTTAGACTATAGTTTACATTGAATATTAAATTAATTCCTTTAGAATTATTTATGAGGGAGTATGGAGGACGTAGACCCCTAGGGCTTTGGTTTATGAGAAAAATCGTAGTTCCCAACTTTTTCAATGGATTTCTGCCTATGTTCTAAGCAGAGTACAGTTGATAGTGTAGCTTTGTCAAAAATAATAAATATGTCATATTATGGTAAAATAATTATATAAGTATTATATATTATCTTTTATGATAATTGTTTAATATATATATATATATGTATATATATATATATGTATATATATATATATTGTACATTATGTGATATGTATGATAGCGTTATATACGTGTGAAACCTGGGTCACAACAAAAACAGACAAGCAGAACCTAGCAAGATTCGAGAGGAAGATATTACGTAAAATATTTGGCCCCAGAAGAAACCAAAATAAGCGAGGATTTGAACGAAGAAAAAAGAGGTTATACGCATGTTAGAGGTTTCAAACATAAAAGTTACAATGAAAAGTAAATAAGTATCCTTGTAAGCTTATATGGATAAGCTGGACAAGGCATGTATGGTGAGGTCGAGAATAGACAAGTCAAGTCACTAGCTGAAAACCGAAGAGCAAGAGACCGCTCGGTCATCTAAGACAAAGTTAGATAGACAGAGTTCATAAAGACTTGGTCATGCTGAGAATCCTGAACAGTGAAGAACTAGCCACGGATATAGTCAGATAGAGGAAAGTGATGGTTGTGGCGAAGGACATTACGGTCTATAGTATAGACTCTATAATAAGCAAGCAAAAAAAAACAAAAAAAAATATTGTACCTATTTTCCCGTTTTTCCTACAGTTTTCTCATGTTTTTTCCCGGTTTGTTCCATTTATTGGAGAAATTCTTAGGAAAATCAGTAAAGTTTTTGAAAAAATGATTTCTTTAAAGTTCCTTCACAGTCAAATTTACTTTCAGAAAAGGTACTACATTTTGAAATCGGAGCAAGTTTTCTGGTAGAAAAGTTGTCTACAAAAAAAAAATAAACATATTTGTAAAACCATAAGCTTCTTCGCTCCACTTAGAATCTAAAATGAATCATGCTGAATGCAATTTAAATAAACGCTAATTGATAAAAAGAAATAACCTAATACACTTCTGGCACCTAATAAAAATAAAGGTGACTATTTAAAACTATTTCTGGAATTTGTCTAATCAGGCCCTGGTGTTGAGCATTTTTTCGACAATACCCGTTTTGATTAAATTAATTTCCGAAAGCTATATCGTATATATTGTATTATGCTGTTGACACAGAGTATGTGAGTACAAAAAAAACAAACATTTTCCATTAATACTAATATACACATGAGAAAAATTAAAATACTTTATATGTTCCATTATATACTTATTATAATGGACGTCCGTACGAATAAATAAATTATCATAAAATATACGATAGCCATTATAAAATTGAAGTGTTCATTTCATGATTATTATATGGCTTATATAGTTTACAAGCAATCGCAAATGGTCCTATTATGACACTATAATGGTCGTTCCATAGCATACAAGTACTTATACCGGCTATACCTGTATGTACATTGTATACTGTAATCGAATAGTTTTGTTTATTGTCAGTGAACATCAGTCTAGGAATATAAAATAATAATAATTTACGTATTTTCGTATTCATAATATTATAAGTATTATCATAGTGTTAATGTTTATAGTATAGAGCGTATAAGTTTTTTTCGCCGAAAAAAGTTAGATAGAACAAAAAAAATAAAGTCGATACTGTTCATGGGTATGGCCAGTGTTGTTGGCGGGTAGCTATAAAAGTAGAATATTATACAAAAGTATAGTTTATATACTACGATGCAACGATGAAAAAAAAATATAAATAACTATAATGGGTCAACTGCTGAAAATGTTGATAAATGTTTCGAATAAAGTATCACCGGGCAGAAATTCTGCATTTTTGAAGTAGGTAACTACTTTCTGCGTAAAGGAATTGAAATATTTGCCTAACCAAAAAAGTTTTTATACAAGTATATATATATAAAGCAATTTTTATTTTTTAAAAAAAAAACGAATTTCGAAAAATGTTCCAAAGTTCCATCAGGCGAAAACCCCGCATCTCGATAATGTGTGCGACATGAAAAAATCGGAGCATTTTGACTAATTGTAAATGCTTTTTCTGCAAGAAAAAAACGCGCGCATCGTAGAAAAACTAATAGCTTTTTCGCTCAACTATCAGAATCTAAAAACCGTAGATTACTATAACATTTATCATATTATATAGTATAATATAAATTCTAGAGAAAGGAAACAAAGACAACGCGTATGCCTGTATACAAAGGAAATTACAATGTGTGGACTGTACTCCCGAGAAATATGAGAGGACGGGAGAAGGTGTGATTTATGGCAAAGATGGTCAACTTTTAATATAGACTTGCGATCGGCCCCTGAGTTTTTCTAGGATGTCGTGATCAAACGTGGAAAAAAAAAAACAAATTTTTAACAAATAACGATTTAGATATGCGTAACTATATTATGCACTTATTTATTTAAAATTAATTAACGCCTTTTTTACAAGACTGCAAACATTTTAATATATTTAATTGCAAATTACTACTTTTAATATGAAATATTACAAAGATTAATAAAAAAAAAAGATTATAATATTACATATTGGTAGCATTAGAATTATTAGATAAAATTAATTAATATATTATAATTTATACAATTTTTGCGGTTGTTGCGGACTGGTTCAATTTATCGATTTATACACGAACACGATAAGAGTCGTTAATAGAGAGGAGTCAATATACTTACGAGATATCATCGGATTACGTGCAAATGTGCATATAGTCACTCAGTGTAAATAATTTCGTTTTTCAAAGACGTTTATTGCCAAAATCAATAAACAATAATATTATTTGCGCATCGCTGCTGGAATCGAATCTTGTGATTGATTTTTATCTTTGATTGTTTTATGATTCGTTGGTTAAACAAAGTTGAAATAATTTTATATAAAAAAAAAATGTATTTGTTTTCTGCGAAAAGTTCAAGAAAAAACGAATGAATTTCGCGGTTGACCTGTTGGCCGTCTCTGGTTTACGGCATGATGGTATTGATGGCGTTTGGTAGTTTCAAATTGATGATTTACGAGTATAATGTGTCTGGTGTCAGTTGTTACTGTTAATATTCAAATATTAAATTTGTTATATGACCTCGATGTGTGTACTATTATTATTATATTATTTAATGTCTTAAACGCTATTATTATTTTTATTTTTCCTAACCGTATATACCAACGGTCAAAATCGAATAAGGGTCTAGTGGGCCTCGGATCAAATTTTAAGAACTTGAAAACGAGTCCCATTTATACATGTATTTAATGTAAATTTGTGCGGTGTACAAATGTGTATCGACATTTTTTTACGCGACTCTCTACCTCCTCCCTCCTCTCGGGCATACTCGGGCTTTATATTAGTAGTGGTGTCGGTGTTTAAAATATAGGAGGTTTAGTCCGATTTAATAATGTCTACACATCAGTATTATTTTTATTCGTCTAAATCCACCACTGTCTATACAGGGTGATTCTTTATTCGCCGAACACTCATTATTTCGCACGATATATAGTTTTTACAGAAAAAAAAAGTTTTGATAATTTAAGCAACAAACTAATCTAAAATGTTGTTTCTATTACGATTATTTTATCGTTGAACTATCATTATTTCACAAATTATAGACTTAAAAAACAAAAAAAAAATTGACAGTAAGTTTATTTAACAGACAGATCTTAAGTATTACATCACCGTTGTTTTGGTCACTCTTATTTTCGGAAGTAAAACGACTACCGACTTTTGATTTTCGAATGGTAACCTATTTCCAAGCACAATTATTAAACACCGCATACCACACAAATGATAACCCGCTATTTTCTTCCTACCCAAACTTAAAATTGAAATATCTCATGAACGGGTGACAGAAATCAACAAATTCAACACCAAAATGTAAATAAACTAATACTCTATTTATACATACATGGAACTTTTGAATATTGATACATAGGTATTACCATTTGAAAATCAAAAGTTGGTAGTCGTTTCACCCCTAAAAATAAGGGTGACAAAAAATAATGGCGATGTAATACTGTAGATCTGTCTGTTAAATAA